GTCTAGAAGTAGAATACAATGACAGTGGACAGTAATTAAAAGCATTCAGCTGCTACCTGAATTGTTATTTTTTTATTTTTTATTATTTTAATTGAAATTTTAGTGAAAGTTTATAGAGAACTTGAATTTCCATTCATTCATTGTTGCACATTTTCTTCCCTGCCCAGCCCCCTGCCCCAATTCACTTTTCTCTTTGAAAAAAAATTCTTTCATTGTTGTACAATCCCCTCCCCGCAGTCAATTTTACTATGTAGCTCTTATTCTGGACTGCTGTCATGCAAAAACATACCTAATCATATATTCCTTTTAAGCATTTCTATTCCTCATCTGTTTCAATGCAGTGTACATTATTTATCCCCTCTTTTCTTAGTTTCCCCCAACCGCCATGTCAGTCTTGTTTTATAACAGTGGCATTATGCAGTATTTGTCCTTTAGAGACTGAGGTAGTTCTTAGGAACCATACAGGACAGAGGACAAGAACAGAATGCCTCCTCTTTCTCCTGAGGAGCAGCTGGTAGGCTCCAACCGCGACCTTCTGGTTAGCAGCCCAATGTTAAACCCACAGCTTTCTTGGTGTAGTCCATAGGAACTAAGCTGCCAACTCAAAAGCTGTTCAAATCAACCAGCTGCTCTTTGGCAAAGAGATGGGCCATCTCCTCCTTGCAATTTATAGCCTTGGAAAAACAGTGCTGTCGGTTCTGACCTGACAGCAATGATACACAGATATACACGTGGGGGCTGAGGGAGTAACACAGTGAACATGTTTTAATGGAAGAACATCATAAAATTTAAGATCTAATAATAACCTTAACTATTGAGTTTCATAATATTCTCTAGCACTAATTATGTATTTTAAGCAAAACAGACTTTTAAGTAAGTTATGTAGTCATGTTGGGAAACTGATTTATACCAGAAGTATTCATGACTGACAATGAAGTTTCTCACAAAAGCAGCGGGGGTAAGCACTGTCAACATTCACAAAGCCTAACTGCAGACATGCCTCATTTAAACCCTAATTTATATCACATCCTGATCCCACAAGAGTGCCTCCCCAGTTATCTTGTATCTTCTTGCTGAGACAGTAGTCTCTACTCAGTAATATGTACACAAACACACACTCACACCCTCTGCTGACCCCTCTCTCTGAACTGCTTAAATTTCCACAATTCAGTATGAGTCTGGGATCCATAATCTCTAAATGTGAGTGCATAATTTTTTTTTTTTGAGTGCATAATTTTTATCAGTTACAAGGAGGAGAAGGAATAATCAGGAATCCCTGAACTTGTTTGTAATTTCTTTCAAATTTTCTAAACAATTTACAAAAACACACTGTTTACTCAAACCACTGTCAAAATTTCTTATAAAAAATGAGTAGCTACAATAAGAGAATTTAAAAAATCTTAACAACCTCATAACACTGAATTTACTTTATATCTTTTTTTAATCCCCTTCAAAGGACTCAAAACAGCACACTCATGTAATGTTAGTGCTGGTCATCACAGCATCAGCAAGAGGTGAGGGCAAGGTAACAGAGCGGGGGTTATTACTCTTATCTGACAAAGGGAAAACTCGAGGTCCAAGGAGGGTGTTTTCCACATGCCCACAAAATGAGTCATTAGAATGTCTGCACCAACTATACGGAGCCAAGGGTCTAAAGCTGGAGGAAAGCACAATGATTTTGTACACTTACTTTTTCCGCCTCTGTCTCTCCTTTAACCTGGAATGGTAGATGTCTACCACAGCCATCTTCAGAGCTACACAGAAAGAAACAGCCAAAGGGGAAAAAACACTGTTTACTCAAACCACTGTCAACTTCCCACTTGTACACTGTTAAATCATCTGTATTTACTGGTCTTCACATTTTGTTTCTTACAATTTAAAAATTTCCCAGATCTTGTATTTTTTTTTATCAGTAAATTATGCTTTTTCCTCCTCTCCTATGTATCTCTATATATGCATTACCCTCTGGATAACAATGTTTGCTTTCAATGGAACATTTCTTTGGGCTATAATTATGTATAGTACTGTTGCAGTTGGCTCTGACTTAAGGTACCTCTATGTTGAACATGACATCTAACAATTCCCCAGTCCTATACCATCTTCATGAAGTCTGAATCTATTTTTGTGGTTGTAATAATGTTGTTCTTGTTATGTGCCATCGAGTTGACTATGACCCACAATAACTATGAGCAGTGGTTCTGAACCCTGCCCAGTTGTGAGCCAAGCTCATCAGCTCAGACACACGTGACCCCACTGCTACAGTCACTGTGTCAATCTATCTCATGCAGGGTTGTCTTCTCCTGTGCTGACCCTCTAGCTTTATAAGCATGGCATCCTTCTTCAAGGATTGGTCCCTCTTGGAGACATGTTCAAAGTATGTGAGATGGAGCTTCAAAATCCTTGCCTCTCATTGTAAAATGGTACATCACTCTGGAAGGCAGTTAGGTGTTTTTCTCAGAAAGCTGAACACTGAATTCCCAAGTGACCCATCTATTCCACTGCTTGGAATAAACCCCGAGAGAAGAACTGAGGCCCAAATGGAGACTTGTACGCCAATGCTCATAGCAGTGTTATTCACAATCGCAAGAACATGGGAACAGCCCAAATGTCCAACCACAATTGAAAAGATTGAGAAACTATGGTACATTCACACAATGGGCTACTACATAGCACATAGTACATGCAGAGCAATAATTCTGTAAATCACTACCTAACTTTGGAGTGATTACCTAACTGCTAAATGAAACTAGTGCTGTTCTATCTGGAGGAACATTCTTCCACTTCGTACATCACTCTTTTTCAATGTGCTGGATGGAATAACCTGGGTTTGCTGTGATGCTAAACCTTGTACCACTGGAGTATCAAATACCAGAATGGTTTCCCAATGTGGACAGTATTTAGCGGAGCTCCCAGTTGTAAAACAAGTTTGGAAGCAGGAGTGGCATCCACTTTCTAAACCACATGCCTCTGGAAACTAGGAACATGGAGACATGACCATAGTTATGGAAAGGCATGAGGTCTTTGGTCATAGAGTCGTTATGAGTCACACTCAACAACAACTTGGGAGGGACTGGAGAGAATTATACTGAGTGAACAAATTCAGTCCCATAAAGACAAATATTGCATAAAACCATTACTATAGAATGAGTATGAGGATTCAGGGTGGGAGCAGAGGGATGAGGATGGGTGGGGGTGGAGGGTGGTTAATCATAGGGTTGCACAATTTGATGGGTGGAGGGAGGGGAGTGTAAAGGAAATGGGAAAGATCCAGAGTGAAAAACAATGTATGCGAACTTTGTAAATAAACTAGTATTAAAAAAAAAAACTGAAAAAATCCTTGCCTCCAGTCATTCATTGATCAGTTCTCAGATGCATAGCAAGCAACTGCGAAAACCATGGCCTGGATCAGGAGCATCTTAGCCTCTAACCTCACATCGTTGCTCTTTAGAACTCTGGAGATTCCCTCACAGATTTTTCCAATGCAATTCATCTTTTGATTTCTTAACTGCTGGTGCCAAGAAAGCTGACTGTGTGGATCCAAGCAAGATTAAGTCATTAACAACCTCAACCTTTTCCATCTCTCATGAGACTTCCTATTAGCCTACTGGGGAGGATCTTTGTTTTCTTGATGCAGAGATGAAATATATATTGAAGGCTGCAATCTTTAACCTTCTTCAGCAAATGCTTCAAATCTTCCTCAGTTTCAATGAGAAAGGTTATGTCATCTGCATATCGCAGGTTGCTGATTAGTCTTCCTCTAATTCTGATCACATTCTTCTTCATAAAGTTCAGCCTCCTGAACAATCTGTTCTGCATATAGATTGAAAAAGGTATAAAGAAAAGATACATCCCTGACACACTCCTTTCTTGATTTTGAACCATGCAGTCAATGTTCCCTTTCTCTGTTCAGACAAGAGCTTCCTGGTTTCTCTTGAGCACAATCAGGTGTTCTGGAAATCCCATTCTTCGCAACATTAGCCACAATTGTTGTGATCCACACAGTCAAATATCTAACACAAACAGGCATGTTTCTGGTACTCTGTACTTTCAGCCACATGATCCATCCATCTGACATCAGCAATGATATCCCTAGTGCCACGGCCTCTTTTAAATCCTTGTATTTCTGGTAGTTCTGTGTTGGGGTACTGTTCTAGTCTTTTGTGGAGTAATCTTCAGCAAGATTTTGCTTGCATGTGATATTGTTTGATAATTTCCACATTCTATAATATCATCATTTTGGGGAATGGAAAGAAATATGGATCTCTTCCAGTCAATTGGCCTGGTAGCTGTCCTCTAGATTTCCTGGCACAACCTGGTTATAATGTAGAGCCTTCTAATCTAGGAAGCTCAGCTTCTAGTGCTACATCTAACAATATTCTATTTTTATTCATAAGGTGCCCAATGGCTAATTTTCAGAAATAGATAACTAATCCTTTTGTCCTTGTCTATTTTATCTTAGTCTGGAAGCTCCACAGGAAAATCTGTGCACCACAGGTGACCCTGATTTGAAATACTGGTGGCATATCTGTCCACATCACAGCAACAGGAAAACAACTAGAGTACATCAAGCTGACAGACCGGTAATGGATCAAAATCATTCACTTTCATCTTTGTAAATTCAGCAAACGGCCTGAATTTGGTAATACACAGGAGCCAGAAATTTCCTCTGTGAGAGCAGTCATAAAATAAAGTGCTGCTTGTAATCATAACTGCACAGTAAGCTCAGGAGACAATGTCAAGAAAGCTGAAAAATGAGGATGCAGGACAGACATGTGCCTGGAGTAGTAGATGTCAGCTGAAGAATATAGCAAATATTTTGGGGGGGGAGGGAGGGAGGAGGTTTAAGAGCTTTGAATTCAGTAGTGAGAAGTCCCATTAAACAAAGTAATCAATGTAAAAGTTATGTCCTGCTTGGCTGTCCATGTCGTAGTCCCTTCTAGTTTCAGTCTTTTGTTAAAGACATGGGATATAGGGACAGTGACTAGCAAAGGTCTACTCAATACAATTATTCTGGTTCTCTTTCTTCTCCTGGCCAGTCTCTTCTTATCTTCAGAAAGCTTCACGGTTCTTTGTCATCTCTCTTTTCACCTCTCACCTTTTTCCTATAAACTCATCCACTCCTACAGCTCCAAGTATCACCACAGTACTTGTTGTTGTTGCTAGGTGCCGTCGAATAAAATACGAGTCACAGCGACCCTATGAACAACAGATTAGAACCCTGTCCTATGCTGTGACATCCTCATGACTTTTGATATACCCAAGCCCACTGCAGCTGTCAATCTGTCAATTTATCTGTTTGAGGATCTTCCCCTCTTCTCCCAACCTTTCTCAGCATGATGTAACCTCTCCAAAGAATAGTGTCTCCTAACAATATGCCCAGAGTATGTGAGATGAAGTTTAGTCATCTTTGCCTCCAAGGAGTCCTCTGGCTGCACTTACTCTAAGACATAAATATTTGTTCTTTTGGCAGTACATGGGATGTCCAGCACTATTCTCCAACACCACAATGTAAAGACATCAATTCTTCTTCTGTCATCTTTATTAACTGTCCAGCTCTCAGATGTATAGCAAGTGACTAAAAATACTATGGCCTGAATCAGGAGCACCATAAACCTCAAACTGACATTACTGGCCTTCAGTAATTTGGAGAGGTTCTTGACAGTAGACTTTCCCAATGCAGTACATCTCCTGATTTCTTGAATGCTGGTACCAAGGGTGTTGACTATGGATCTAAATAAGAGGAAGTCACTGACAGTTTCAATCTTTCCTCCATCTATAATATTTACTATCAGTTCAGTTGTGAGAATTTTTGCTTTCTTGATAATATAATCTATACTGAAGTCTTTGATCTTCTGCTGCAAGCATTTCAAGTCCTCCACTCTTTTCAGGAAGCAAGGTGTGTCATCTCCGTAATGCAGGTTTGTTCATGAGCTTTCCTCTGATCCTGATGCCACGTTCTTCTTAAGAGTTCAGCTTCTCCAATGATTTGTTCAGCATACAGATAGGTATAGTGAAAGGTTTTAATTCTGATGAACATCCTTCCTGATTTTAAACCATGTAGTGTTCCCTTGCTCTGTTCTGGTAACAGCCTCTTCATCTAAGTATAGATTTCACATAAGCACAATTAAAGGTGGGAAATCTCCTCTCACTAACTGCATTCCAGGCACTATTTTGAACTCCAGGGATGTAAGAATAACCCCTGCCTTTGTGGAGTTTAGAATTAAGCAGACATATGGGCAATATGAGGAAGCTCTGGTAGCTCAGTGGTAAGGAATTTGCTACCAACACAAAAGCATACAGTTCAAATCTATAAGCTACTTTATGGGAGAAAAATGGGTACTCTCCTCCTGTTCAATTAACTGCCTCTAAACACCTGCTGGGAGGGTAAGCTATGGGTCAGTTCCAAGTCGATGGCACTTTACAACAACAAAACAATATAGGCAATATAAAATCAATATAAAGCACACATATAATACAAAGTACAGTTTCACATTTGATGAGATGAAGGATGACATACTCTATTTTATACATATTTAACTCAGAATGGCTACTCATTCCTGAAGCCAGTGTTTCTCAATTCTTTAATGGTTTGTTGGTTGTTGTGTTTTTTTTAAGTTACCATTTCTCCTCATTACTTGCAGGTTGTATATTTGTAAATGTGCCTACTTGCTAAAATTAATCTTAGCAGATCTATGCTTTTACTCCATATTTCATAAGGGATGGAACTGGTCACTTCGTGTAAATAAAACATATA